GCTTGGTCATTCTGACAGGTGTTGGATGCCACAGTTCCCTGCAGCCAATCAGGCTGAAAACGCAGATTACCGCACAAATCTCTTTGTACCCACAGTCGAAGCTAATGTTGAGACTGAGACTTACGAAACTGTGAATCCCACTGGGAAAAAGACTTTTTGTACATTTGGAAAAGACAAGCGAGAGCACACTATTCTCATTGCCAATGTTAAACCTTACTTAAAAGCCAAACGTGCCCTGAGCCCTCTCCTCCAAGAGGTCCCCTCAGCATCAAGCAGCCCAACCAAGGCATGCATCGAGCCTTGCACCTCAACAAAAGGCTCTCTGGATGGTTGTGAGGCAAAACCAGGAGCCCTGGCAGAAGCAAGCAGCCAGTACTTGCCCACTGACAGTCAGTATCTGTCGCCCAGTAAGCAACCAAGAGACCCTCCCTTCACGGCTTCGGATCAGATGGCGAGGGTCTTCGCGGATGTGCATTCTCGAGCAAGCCGGGATTCCAGCGAGATGGGCGCCGTTCTCGAGCAGCTGGACCACCCCGCCCGGGATCGGGGCCGAGAGTCGGTGGATGCCGAGGAGGTCGTGAGAGAAATTGATAAGCTTTTGCAGGACTGCCGGGGAAATGACCCTGTGGCTGTGAGAAAGTGAAGGGGGGAAAAAAAGAAAGAAAGAAAGAAAGCATTGGCATTTTCTTGTCTCTTCTGTTGATTTAAATATGATCCCTCCTGGTGACAACCCGGGACACAGGGATGAAGAGAGACCAATGCTACTTTAAGGCTTTTAGTGAACATCTGAAGTGCCCACAAGTATGTTCTTTTCACTGCTGTTTCTTTTTCAGAGATAACAATGGTTTTGTTTCGACCAAACTTATATTAGGACAGAAATAATGATGCTCAAAGAGAAAAGAGGAAAAGAGAGAGCGAAGAAAGAGGAGAGAAGATGAAGGAGGATGAGGAGGCGAGTTACCTTTTGACAATCTGTTAGGAAGGTATGCGGTGTGAGAGTTGAAGTATTTCTGATCACTCTAAGACTGTCCTCCGTGATTTATGCTGACTTAACTGTTTACCTATAAACCCCATACAAAGCAGGGTCATAATTCTGTGATCTGTGGTGGATTTCGAGCAGTCATCACAGGCTCCTACTGAAAGTCCCGAAAAGACCTTGCAGTAGTCCAAGCTACACCAAACATTAACACATATTTGTGGTAAACATTTCTGTATAAAGTTACCTGCCACACATATAAACACAAAGAACATTCCACGTCTTTAGTCGAAAAAAATTTAAAAAATAAATAAAAACAAACTCGGTCATTTGTAAGACACCTCATGTCGTATAAAAGTTAAGTGTAAAAAGATATAGTCCATTTTGTCCTGCACACACATAGACTAATTCACTTCGTTAAAGGAGAAGAAAATTTAAAGTTTTAAAATGCCTCTTTAGCATTTTAGTGTCCAACAAACATATAAATAATGATGGATATGTTTTAAATTTGACCTACAAAAGTTTTGAAAGCTACTTATCACTGAGTGATAACATTCAGAGAAAATTAACATGATTAATATGTTTTACTCATTTGTGGACACTAAAATAGCTCAGGAAAGTGAAAATGTCTTAGACATCCACAAATCACATGACCATTTAAATGTGCAAATGTAAGAAGATTCAATGTGTTTACATCAAATGACATATTTTTATTGATTTATTGCAGATTCAGTGCATATGAGCCAAATTGTTGAGTGTATAAGAGCTATATTGTGTATTTTATTAAATTAATATATAGTTGTGTTGCAAAAATATTTGGGCTTATATTGTAAATGGCAAGTGTTGCCTCGGTAGCTGTCGAACTCTATGAGTTTTGTTTTTTCCTGCTTCCTTTTCCCCATGGAGTGTCGGAAGCAGTGCCTCAGAGCAAAGTCTCTCGTTAAATGTATAGTCTACCAAGTACTACAGTACATAATCTGTTCAAAATGTGTCTGAATGAGCTGATGGAGCTATCTGAAAGGTCGAAAAATACATTTGTCAGTCATGGTTATGTGCAAGTCCTTGTAGAAGCTTTTATTAAAGTCATGCTAAATCACAAGAATTACATCTGTACCAATACCTGACACTTCTTCATGTTTTCCCAATAACATGCAGCTTCTGCCTATGTAGATATCATACTGTCAATTGGTTCTCAAAAGTATGTTAAGTGGTTCAAGATGCGTGTTTCCCATTTATTTCAAAACCATGAACAATGCTTTAATGCATGTGTGGTACCAGCACTGGTTACTTGCATCGTGTAGTGTTTTTCAAGAGGTCTGGGTCTTAACAAAATATTTTTCCTTTTTCTCAGTGCTCTTTTGCCTCTTTTGATTGGTGTCCCTTGAGAACAGCATACCTCTATTCCTTTGTTTGGTTGCACCTTTTCTTGTGACATTTAGCAAGTTTCAAACTTACTTCCATATGAGGCTAGGAAACCTCAAATTTCAGGAATTGGGAAAAATAAAATTAGCACTTGCAGAAGTAGCAGCAGATGGGAAAATGCCTTGATTGACATTTTCCTTCAGCGTTTAAAATTTTTGGCATTTTAACAGCTTCATGACAAACAGCTTCCAGCCCATACCTTAGAAAATGGGGTGCTGAGTTAAATAAAGCCTGTTTGTGCACTGGAGCAGAAAAATGTATTATTTGCAAACTGGTGGAGAATTCTGTGCCTTCTTTTCTGGCCACCAAGCCAGTGTAGAAAAAGCGTAAATGTCATAAAATCCTTATATTAAACACAAAAACAAGAGCAAAAACAAACATTGAACTGATTTAAGTTTTGTAATGTTAAACTTCAACAAATTCAACTGAAAATATTTCCGTCAAATGCTGTCAAGACTGTAGACTGTACCTCGTTTGCAAAACTGCTTTGAAAGGAAGAGTGGACGACTCCCATCAGCCTTATTCTCTCGAGAACTGTATCTGGTTCCTAGTTACAGCCTTTCCAAAGCTCTACTCTTGGTTCTTATTATTTGTAAATGTTTAAATTAGAAGAGAAAGGATCTTGTACACGTGAAACCTAATCGACTCTATATTTTGGACAATTTATGTACCTGAAACATGTTGTCTCTGTTATATGACGTTATTTTTTTTTATTTTTATTTTTTGCCAGGAGACTACAGGTTGATTTAGCTTGATAGCAGGAATTTGATGGAAAACAGATTTCCATTTAGTCTTACCAAGTGTTGCCTCTCTCTGACTAGACAGATAGCCACTTAGTAAAATCTAAGGCAGTGTGTAAATGAAACCAACAAAGAGAGTAGGGGTTATTTTTAAAACAGTCTTAACTTTGAGTAACCATTTGTTCAATTTATTACATGTGTCTGAAGACATTAAAATGCTATAAGGTTTTAAAAATTGGTTGTGCCAATGTGTGAGGGATTTACCTTTAGGCTCTCCATCACCAGTGATTTACTAGTGTTAGCTGTTTAACTCATTACCTGTATTTAATAGTGATTATTTATTTACAAGTTAGTGGTAATTCAGCAGTCAGGACCCTAAGCTTTTACAGTTGAGTTGAGGGAATCTTGCTTTTACTTATTTGGCTGGCAACTGCCTTTATCACAGACCTCTGGTGCTTGGCTTCTGAGGAAGTCTATGAAATGCCAAAATCACCACTTTGGGGAGCAACTTGCTCTAAGGGGTGATGCATGATCAAATTGTGATATTTCAAGGGGTTTCAGCATAATTCAGAATGTGAAAAAAATTGTCTTAATTCACATCCTCCATTTATTAACCCCTCAAACAAAATTCCACACATTCAAAATGAATAATTTGATAAAACTTTGTCTTTTAGGTCTTTAAAAAACTGAAGTCCAGCACAGAAAAAGAATTCATAGAAAATTTCATGAGAGAGTCAAAGTTCTAAAAATTATTTACTGATGAACTAAAAAAAAAAAAAGTAACAGAAGAGTCTTTTCATTCAATGTTAATGATGAAAAAAGATCTTTTCATCCAAGTTAAAAATAGTGAGAATCAGTGTTAGTTAACCTATACCAAAGTAAACATTAAAGAGACATATCACGCAATTTCAAAGAATGCTTTCATATTATTTCTTAACCTGACATCCTTAATGTAGGCAATATGCAAATATTGGCTTACTACTCCATAAATTAATTGAATTCCTGGTTGGAAAATTGGCTTGTTTTGTTTTTCTACATTAGCTGATATCTTATAAAACATCCTTTAAAGGATCCAGGTCCTGCACAATTTAAAAAATGACACCATTAAAAGAAAAAAAAAATGTCATATAGTAATAGAGCAGTATGCTTTATTAGAACCAGATTAAAAGCTGTGTGTTGCCTAATGGAGGAGAAGTTGCTGAGATCAACAGGTAGACTGAGGTCTGACATAATATATGCCCACTCGTTATTGTCTAATTATATTCTTTTGACAACAGACAACATTTATCAGAGCGTTAATTCAAATGAGAGTTTTGGCTATCAAGATGTGTTGGTTCGAAACATAATTGAATGAGACCCAAAAAAAGTCTGACTTCCCTGGCCCCGGTGTTTTGCAGGTTGGCTATTCCCATTTATCAGCTCCATCCCTCCATAAGGTTCCTAGCTGCACCAAGGACAACAACACAAGCAGCATACATTATATGGATTTATCTCAATGCTATTGTTTAATGGCTGTGTTTAATGTGACCTATCTGGAAAATGAGGACTCCGAATAAAAAGCTATTACTAATAGTGGCGTTGCATTCCCTTGAATTTATTAACACACAAGTCATGTGTTACACGGGGACACTGATCATAATTATTTTGGAAAGTTAACTGTGGCGTCACAACTGTTTTCGCTAGTTATTTGTTTGCCGGTAAAAAAAGATTTTAAAAAATGTACGTAACAGAAATGTCACTAGGTTCTCAGAGGAATGGGTTAACAATCTTTCAGATAGCTTAGATAAGCTAGCTAGTCAAATAATGACCGGGGCATCATAGTTTAATGATACTTGTGGCTTTTAATATTTATAATTGGTTTCAAGATAATTTGGCACAAGATCCTAAAGGACTTAAGAAATTTCATTTTTATAAACCCTCTCATAATCTTACATGATTTATAAAAGCATATATTACAAATGGCATTTTAAAGTAAATATGTATTTGCTATGGCATCTAAAAATCATAAGCCTCTCTACTCGTTCGACAAACATCTACTGAATTTCTATTGTGTGGTCACCCTGGGCTATTATGCCCTAGGAGTAAACAGTAAACAAGGAATGCTGCCTGGTTCACAGTCTGCTGAGAGAGACAAACAGGTAAGTTAGAGCTCACATTACTGTTTATAAATCTGATTCAGCTGTGGGCATTTTCCTTAATTACTCTGCATATCCATTTCTGCTTTTTCACTCTCAGTGAGTGGCATCTCCTAAATTACAAATCTATATAATATTCTGCCAATTTAGATGTTTTCCTCTTAATTTTACTTTTCTTCTGAAACCATTACATATTTCGAGGAAAGTATATTGCTTTTTGAATTTAAGAAGAGCTTTATCTTTTAGAGTTATTGGGATAGACGGAATGGCTTATCCATTCATTCTTCTGCTCATTTATTTGTTGACTTCTTTGTTTCTTGAGCACCACATAGGTATCAGGTACTATACAAGGACCCTAAACTACAAAGAACTAAACCAATTACATTCATCCCTCGATTTACACAGATTATCCATTCCACGCATCTTTCGCGCAGAAGAAAATTGCATAAAAGGAGTCCACCAGTATGAAAAAAAATACTAAAGAAATAGGTCAATATAAGTCATAAAAATACTTATTTCACATATTTTCACAAAAAAATGTTAATGAAAATTTAGGAAAAACAAAATAAATTTTACTTTTGTCGGTGTCCGTACTGTAATCTAAAGCAATCGACCTTCTCCTTTAAATTAGCCCAAAGTCACTATTTTCATTGCTCAAAATATTTAGAAGTATTACTTGGTTTTCATTATTTATGTTTATGTTTTTGGATGATCTTTTGCCAACCCAATCTTTTGCCGAGTTTTCATAAATTCTTTAATATTCACTGCAGCATTTTAAAAAATCTTTTCAAAATTTTAAGGCTCGTTAGATGTTTGTATCAATATTTAGAATTGCGGTTTCCAGTTCTGTGACCAATTGAAGAGCTTTGTAAATATTTTCTTCAGGGAATGAAAATGGTTCAAGATCATAAAACAGTACCAAGTTTAGAACACTCTTTTTGTGATTTTATGTGAATTGCCCTTATATTTTGTTGAGAATATTGGTGTACAGCACTGCTTATGTGAAAATCGTGCTTGCTTCCCTAGGAGTGTTTTAGCTTCAGGTCAGCCAACTAAAAAAATAATTACACAAACCAAAATTAATGCTGATAAGTTCTGTTTATAGGGAAATTTCCAATTCACAGAACACTTTCACAAATTACAGGACAATACAGAGTTAAAGATTCTGAAGCTCAAGGAGGTAAATGTCCTTATCTAAGGGCAATAAGCTAGGAAGACTTAAGCCCACACTTGAACTAAAAGTTCAGTTCCAATAAATAAGTAAGTAAGATATGTAAATAAATAAATAAATAAACAGATAGATAAACAAATAAATAAATACAGTTAAGTCTCTGTGGTTGTTCCAGATGTTATGAATTTTGCAATCTTGCCCAATCTAATATCTTGCCTCTCTAGTACCTTAAATTTAACATCTGAAGAATTATATTATGCTAGTAATATGCCCCTCCCCTTTAAACTGACAGTCACATCATAGAGTTTAGATGGTCTCTATGTTAATAGGTCATAACAGTATTAAGTAATTTGAAAAGCAGAGAATAGAGATGGCAGTTTCTAGGAAAATGAAAAGACATAAGAACTGTGCCTCTCTTAAGATTGCCCTCATTTTTTTAATTGCCATCTATAAAAATATTTCACAACATTGGTGTTCTTTTCTCCAAATTATTCTAAAACAATATTATGAAGCATTATTTTTTCTGTGAACTTGATATAATCTCACCTGGAAGCAGTCATATAGACTTTATTAAATTCCTTTAGAGCATTAAGTTTTGCATGTTCTAAACTAATAAGAATACTAATTTGACTTTTTAGAAATAATTACATAAACTCTAGTAATATTGAAGAGACTTTAAAATATTACATTCATACATATGAATTAATATACACATATAGGTGTATGAGAGACAAATAATTTCAAAAGCCAGTATCACAAAATTAAGGAGAGAGGGACTTTAAACAGTAGAATTATGGCAAAGGGATGAACAAAATTTTTTACATTTAGAACTTGCCTTATCCACATTGGAGGAAATATTATATCATTGCCTTCTTCAGCGATCAGATGAAAAATTCATCAAAAATTGCCATCAAAGTCATTTTCAGGCTGGTTAATCAAAAGCGAAGTTCTGATTCTGCCTGAATTTAACTCCCTAATACATTGTTCAATATCTCTTTTTACAATTCACAGAAAACCAACTTTATTCTCAAGAGGTCCAGAAATAAATTTTAATGTCATTTTAACAGTAACTGGCTTTTTTATAGTTTGGAAATCTAAATTCAAATAGGTGGGATGTGATATTCATTTATTTAACTGATCTGCTGAAAATCTCAGTACTATCCATTTAGCAGTATTAAATCACCTTTTGATATTATTCTCCCTTACTATTGCAGTTGAAGGACATATCTTCAATGTAATAATTTGCTTTGAGATAAGATTTTTGAACTTTTATTTTTATCCTCTCCTTTAAAATCAGATTTTTGTCTATATCTGTTTATATTATCGAACATTCTATAATATTTATCTATTGTCTTATTGTCTTATAAGTGACTATTATCTTATCTTTATTTCATAATTTTATCTAAATATGAACTAGTATGTAATCTTTCTCACCTATTTATTTTTTCATTAAATATATTCATATTTACATATTTTTTCATATGCTTTCATTTTAATGGATCAATTATGGAGGTAGTGATATCTTACTTGATAATTACATCAGGTGGAAAATGTCCTGTTTTTATTACCCTACAGGAAAACTAAGGGTGCTTTTTAGGTATAACCTACATGGAGTGTTAAAGTTGACAAAATGCATAATAAAATATAACAGAGGAATACAAAGTGGTAAATAGGTGAGAATGCAGAATCTTAGTTAAAATCTTTATGCAAGAGTGCCTAGCTACTTCATTGAAAGGAAGAAAGTGATAGAAAGTGAGTCATCTTACTCTATTATTTTTAACTCTTATATGTTAAATCCTCATTTTAATATCTCATCATGTGAAGTGTTTGGCTTTGATTGAATTTAAGAAAAGAGCTTTACCTCTGAGATTATATGCTATGATTTCTCAATGTGTTTCTTCTCCAACCACCTCTAAAATTCAACTATTATACATATTTCATCATTTCTTTCATTTCGGATAACTACTAAAATTTAGTCTTTCTTCATAATCCAGAGGAGGAAAGGAAATAAATAAATGGGTCAAATGCACTTCTCTGGTGAGTTTCCTTCTTGAGAATATGACACCTTGATTCAATTCACATTAATTTATAGAATCTGTATTGTGTTTTTGAATAGAATGGAGCATACAGATATTAGCAAAACACAGTTTCTATCTCTATAGATTTTTAAATATACCAGGAAATGAAGATATTTATGCAAATACAGTTTGTACTTGGTACCATGAGAAGTGCAAGTTGCAGAGGGCAAAGGAGAGAGAGACAGAGACAGAGACAGACAGAAAGTCCTGTCAGCTGAGAAAGTGGAAGGTGGCGGAGGGAATCAGTACGGCTTCTTGGAGCAGACAGCATTTGAATTGGGCATTTAAGGTGGGACAGGATTTTGGCAGCAGAAGTGTACAGAAATGCATTCTGGAAGAAGAGAGACGCAATGTGTGCAAAAGGATTTAAATAAAGTCATATTTTCTGATTAGAAAGTTAGAAAGGGTTGGAAAGGTGGGTTAGGTTCAGCTGGGAATTGCACTGAATGGTGAGCTGAGATGTCACACGAGCGTCTGTCTATTCCAAAGAAAGAGACTCGAGGACACCTGAATTAGGCTCAGTAGCTGGGAAAGCTCTGGGAGAGGCTTGACAAGTTAAATGTGAATTCAGGAAAATAACACTAGGACAGCTTGCTGCTGCCTGGTGAGCCATTCTTTATAAGATGCTGCCTAATAGCACCTTGTTCTTGGGGTGGGTCCAACTATCTAAAGGCAATGCCAGCTCTGCTGAATCTTGCAATTCTCAGCTTCAAGCCCTCAGCAAAGTATTTATGTGTATGTTTCCAACTTCCCAGAAATAATTCTTCCTTTGAAATCTGTAATCGTATTTGAAGCTTTGGGAGGCAAAAAGAAACAGAGGTAAAAAAGCGAAGATCAAGAGCATGGCTGATTTTCATCCCTGGAAAAGTGGCATTTTAACATTCCCAGATTCTCCAAGCATCTCCCGGTATCTGCTGTGTGAATTCTGTTGCACAGAATAATTCTAATCCTAACATTTATTTTGTCTGCGTTCACCGTTCCAGGATCCTCTAGGCTGGTATAGATGTCCTATCTTAATGCTTCCATAGTGTTCTATACATATCAGTAGAGGAGCTTATAATTATTGATTATTAAGACATTAAAATAGAGAATAACGACCTTAAATTAGTGGTTCCCAATGGGAGGCAACTTTCCCCCCAGGGATATTTGGCAGTATCTAAAGACAGTTTCCATTGTCAAAAGGTGGAG